TCATTATAAATGTTATACACAATGCATAATTACATTTACATTTCATCTAGTGTCTAAAACGCTAAAATCACTAACAGTTGCAAGGGGTTTGATCAATTGGGACCCCAACAGCTCAAATACATGACTTTTCTCAACGACTCCTCTGATTGCTTCGCCCTTTCTTCTACGCCTCCGCCTGAAGCCATGGCCGCCGGCGAAGACAACTTCTTGGTCTGAGAAATTGATCGGAGATTGGACTTGACGTGGTGGTGGACTGCCCTGATGGTGGTGTTCCATCGTGCAAAGCCTTGATCTTTGAGTGCCTCCACCAATCCGACAGTTGCTGCCACCATCCATACTCTGCTTGTGGAACTCATCTTTTCTTTAAGTTTCCGACTGTTTTATGATGCTAAAATGGAAAGGAGTTTTCTAGTTTGAATGGTATTAGGGATTTGTTTAATGGATATGAGTTAGGGAAAGAGAAGACTGGTTTTAAATAGAGATGGAGAGAGTGAGAGAAACCCCCAACTTTAGTGGTAAAAACAGGAGGCCAGAGACTTGGAAGAGCCAATGGTTTTATGGTAGTGAATTGTCAAATGTGCCCTTCGAACGCCAACTAACAAATAGGCTTCTCTTTCCAAATCTTTTCTAATTAACAATGGATAATATCCAAGTGTTGCATGACGTAAGCAGGAAGTGGATGTACTATACAAAACCAAACAAAATACTTTGATAACATAATGAATTATGTTTGTGTGTATATACAATGGTATTTAATTTTTTTATATTTAAAACCTATCATTTTGACAATAGCCTGTTTAGTTACCAACTTGCTATAACCATGTCATAAAAACAAATTATATTTTTTATATAATATTTGATCATTAGTAGTTTTATATATAATTTATATGAAAGTGATTTATATTGATAAAACACTATGAAAGTGATTAATTTTCCTAACATTATCTATTAGAAATTAAACATTTCTAATGGCTTCAAATACCAATATATTTACAAGTATATACAAAAAGATAACAAAGCATTTATAGGCTCGAAAACAAGGTAACATCCTACTTGACAACTTAACTGAGTCGATTTTGCAATGGGAACCCGCTTAACTGTTTGGGTCTTCAAAACATATGCTTTTGATTTTTCCAGGTGACTCGATCGAATGTACATAAAACAAATATACAAAATGAAATTATTAACATGTAATGATTATACGAACGGCCTTTATAAATGAAAAAGTCACACAAATGAGAACATAAGCGCAACTAAATCAAATCTTAATCTTCCAACAAGTAAATTTACAAAACTTGAATACTGGATTCATAATATATGATCAAATTCTTTCTTTCTTTTCTCCATTGAAGGTTGTACATCATTCATAATTACATGTACAGATTTTCCGTATCTATCTACCTAAAACAGCTAAAAAATAGATTTATATTATCAGTTGGAACCCCAACAGCTCAAGTACATGACTTTTCTGAGTGACTCCTCTGATTGCTTTGCTTTCTCTTCCATGGCTCTGCTTGAAGCCATGGCCGCCGGCTGTGACAGGTTCTTGGTGTGGGAGATTGATCGGAGATTGGACTTGGCGTGGTGGTGGATGGACCTGATGGTGGTATTCCACCTTGCAAAGCCTTGATCTTTGAGCGCCTCCACCAATCCTACAGTTCCGGCCACCATCCATACTTTGTTTCCTGAACTCATGCTTTCGGAAACTTGGAGATGCTGAAATCAAATGCGTTTTTTCTATCAGAGATTTTTGATTGCGATGATTTGGAAAATGTAAGGATGGGTTTAAATAGAGTTTAGAAGGAAAGAGTACAAGGAGTAAAAGAGCTCCTGGTTTTATGGATACAGGGCGGGCCAAGACGATTGGAGGCCCGGGGCAAAATAAAAAATGGGGTCCATTCGAAAATTTTATGTATTTATATATTACACTACTTTATACATACATAACAATACATTTAACTTCGTACACAATAGAATGGGGAAAACTAAAAATACAATGCTATTAGAAGTACAAAAATACTAAAGTCTCATCCCCTTTGTTTTTTCATTAACTTTGTTCAGCTTTGTTCATGTACATAAGTTGTTGACCTCCAACTGAAGTAGATTTATCATCGACAAAAAGTTGTTAGGTGAATTGCTTAAATCCATAATACTTGTTGTTGTTAATAACCTGGAAGTAGTTGAAAAAACTATTCAACAACAGAAAATTATATACATATCAAAAACATAGAAATAGAAATAAAAATGAGTACCATTCATAAATCAAAAATAAGAATATTAACATTACAAATCGAAATTAAGCAATAAAGTTCAAGAACTGTCTCTAATACAAAAATATTAACATTTGATTATGTCTCTAACTTGAACAGCCTCATAAAAATAGAATTTCATAAGAAATTTCAAGAGCGATAAAATATACAGAGATTCACAGTCATATTATCAGAAATCAATTTCACCTCTAACAGTCGATTCTGAAAACCGAACCTTCAAATTTCTAGAAATTAAGAAAGAAATCCAATTTAAGGCAGTGACTAGAACTCTCGATTAAAACCTCTAGGCCAGATTCCTAAAATAAATCAAATAACGTTATTAACTTCCCATTGGTGCTATATCAGAAAAAGGAAATCGACAACAAGAAGGGAAACAATAGAGTTTCCTATTTTTCTGAAATCGTGAAAAGAACGAGACACAATCAGTCTTTCAATTCTAAAATAACATTCGATTCACTAACGGTTGTTGTGGACGAATTCAGAAAATCAGAAAAGAATGAAAGAAAACGATTAACTTGAAATCTTGAATAAGAAATAGAAGAATGATCTTTAACTCTTGCTATTGGAGAAGACGTCGTTTGGATTTTCCATGGCAATGTTTGGATTTTCTATAGAAATCTGATTGTTGAAGAGTTACGACGCCTTGGAATTAGGACTTGTGTCAGGTAAGTCTCGTTCTCTCCCACGCTCCATCTTTTGGATTAGTTCCTGATCAGAGTATTAGGGTTTGAAATAGTCCAATAGGCTAAAAAGTAATGGGCTGTTAATATATAACCAAAATAACAAGTTAAAAATTAGGGCCTTATAGCATTTGGGGGCCCGGGGCGGTCGCCCAGCTTGCCCATGCCCACGGGCCGGCCCTGTATGGATAAAAACAGGAGGCTACCACTTGGAAAAAACTACTGGTTTTTTCAACCAATTCGACTGCTAAATTCCCCACTAGACTCTGGAGTCAGCCATGCGGCGATATTATCACTACCTTACAAAAATATATATCGTTACAATATAAAACTATAATTATATAAGAAAAAAAATAGGGAAATACATTATTAATTTTATATCTATTAAATAGATGCCCTCTCACTGCTAAATCCTTTCTCCGTAGAAGTCGTGGTTATTTTTTGAAAACTTAATTTTTTGGTCATTTTTTTTGAACAAACCATTCTTTTTGGTCATTTTACAATATCATTATTTTCGCTGATCAACAATCCCATCCACTCCCACCACCATTGTCGACCTCACGCAACAAAAATCACATTTTATTACTTGACAAAGAACAATTAAGTTATGTTTTTTGATGTCAAGTTTGTTCTGGTTGAGTTCGTTAGTACACAATGGAGATTGAACTAGAGAGCCATATCTCAATCTGTGAAGGTCATAGACATTGTATGTTTGATGCTGACAAAAACATGAGCAACAGTAAGAAAGAAAAACTATATTGTCTATCGATCGGACATGTTGTAAGTAAGAATGAATGTGAAGCTTCATTGTGGCCATTTGGGTTAACCGGCGACGATTTTTATTTTCTACATATAGATATCTAGGTGTATTCACATTAATATGTATTGTCTGGAGAAGATAACCATATACCGATGATTGTTAAAAAAGATGAAAGAGTTTAAATATGTACAAAAATTAATTTAATGGTAAATCATATACAAAATTATGAGTTCAATGATATTTTTTGAACAACAAATGTAGGTTTAATGATGTTTATTGAGCATGTAAATCAATTATAACTGACAATTATATTTATTGAACAAAAATATAAGTGTAACTTATTATATAAGAAAAAAAAAAGATAAAATAACTAAATATATACATAACTAATAATTCTGGCTACAAAGTTATTATCCTATTATATAAAGATTAAATTAATAATAGTTCATATTTTTGTTTAGTTTAAAAATAATTTTTATCACATAAAGGAGACTCTTATTTTTTTTTTAAATAATTACATAAAACTTTAAATTTATAAAATTGTTATAATTAGAATTTGTTTGGTTTAACCATTTGATTGTTTTATGTAACCTTAAAATGTTTGAATTTTAAAAAATTAACAAAACATAAATATTTTCTATGGGTTTCCATAACTTCTTATAAATAAAATAGAAATTATAATTATTAGAAATATTAATAATTAAATAAAAATGCCAATGAGGTCTAGTTCAATTGGGCATATGCACATTCTAGTTTTCGCTTCCAAATGTTTCTGGAAGAATGGTGTCGAATTCTATTTGTATCCAAAGCAGTGAAACACTTTAATGAGAAACTTGGTTGCTAAGGATGCTCTTGTTATCTCTTTGGGTGGGGAGGGATGGAACTCAAGTTTGTTAGGTGTTTTGGCATACATGTCCTATCGGAAGCCACTCTCTGTTGCACCAAAACACTGTTCAAGAAAATATGAATTAAATATAAATATAAATTGGAGGGCATAATGGTTATTTTAACTAGGTTAACCGACTAAAATATGTTAATTTTAGAGACGAATTACAACTAAACTGACATCTACGAAAAAAGATTATTGAACTTGGGTCTTGGAACGAAACTGCTAATCAAGCAATAATAGGGGGACTATTTTGTGATCAAATACAATCTAACGCAGTAAAACTTAAAAACTTTGAAATTAAACCCCCCATTTGAGTTAAATACGAGGCGTTCAAATTTCACAATTAAAGAGGCGCCAAAAGAATTCTGCACCCTTCCGTTTTTGTGCGTTTCTCAATTCTCATGGAACCCCTCGTTGGAGGTTCGCCGGAAACTTCTATGTCACCGGAGACGGTTACCACGGCGTTGGAAGCTGAGACCAACGAAAGAATCCTAACATTCATAAGGCCAACGGATACAGGAAATGTAAAAGCCAATTCAACTTCCGGTCCTTCATCTTCAAATTCATCTGCTGCTGATCTCATTGCTTGTAGCGAAGATCTTTTAACCGAGATTTTTCTCCGGTTACCGGTGATTTCACTCATACAATTAACGTCCGTATCGAAACAGTGGAACTTGTTCATAAAAAGCTCCAGTTTCTGTCTCCTCCGAAACCCTAACCCCGATCCCCCTTCTGGTCTCTTTTTTGAAGGTTGGGACGCTCGTTATAAATATCATTACGTGCCAATGGATTTCGGGAATTTGGTCAACAGACCTCCATTTACGACCCTCCGTTTTGACTCAGGTTCTATTAAGATTTTACAATCTTGCAATGGTTTACTCCTCTGCGCCAACGATTTTCAAAAGTATTACGTTTACAATCCCACAACCAATCGATTTACCACGCTTCCACAACTAAACAATTTCAATCCGGATGGTATTTGCTGTATGACATTAGCTTTCGATTCATCAAAATCATCTCATTACAAAGTCGTATGCAATTACATGTACAGAGTCATGATGATCGAGATTTACTCATCAGAATCCGGCAAATGGAAGATCTCAAACGAAAGTACAGACGATTTGGTAGATCTAGATCGAGGTGTTTACGGACACAACGCCATTCACTGGATGAGCTTTCCGAATCGGCTCGTATATCTGAAGCTAGATTCAGAGCAACTTCATTACATCGACATAGATACACCTGACACCACCGTCTATGGCACAATTCTCGATGAGTTTTTAGCAGAATCTCGTGAAGGTATGCTTCTTGTTGTGCGTTGCTGTAGGTTCAGAAGGTTGAATGTTTACGAGATTAAAAAAGACTATTCCGAGTGGTCAATCAAGTATCATGTCGACCTTGAAGAAGTTATTAGGGTTTACCCAAGCATGCTGACTCGCCTAGGGCTTCATTTTATGGTGCAATCGCTTGTTCTTGGAGGAAGAGAAGAGGATTCATTTATAGTTCTCGAGCTTCCCGGGAAACTTATACAATACAAGTTCGTGGTAAACACAATCTCCCAGCTTCGTGATTTCACAACTGAGAGTCGTAGGTGTGTTCATGGAGGCTTCTTCCCAAAGACCATCTTTCAACTCTCTGACTTTACACGTGAGAATCGTCGTTTCATCAATGGAAGCTGTTTTCATTTCATCCCTTCCCTCGCTGGTGTCTGAGGTATTGTACTTTTAATATATCGTATATGTAAAAACGTTAAAATTTGAGCATTTATTGAAGTAATTTGTTGGTATTTCATTAATGGATGCACTAATCTCCAAGAATGTTGTAAATCTATACTAATATATCATATACACAGTCTAATTAAAGGAACATAAACTAGAATTTTAGTTAATTAGGACCCCAACAACTCAAGTACATGACTTTTCTCAAAGACTCTTCAGACTCTCTTGCTTTATCAGATGACTTCTTGTTCTTGGGCTGAGAGAATGATCGGAGGTTGGGTTTGCTATGGTGGTGGATGGTTCTGATGGTGTAGTTCCACCGGGAAAAGCCTTGATCTTTTATCGCCTCCACCAATCCAACTGTTCCGGCCACCACCCATGCTCTGGTTGTTGAACTCATGTTTCTTGATTCTTGTTAACTTTGAAATCGAATGGGTTTCAAATGTAATTGGATGATATGAATTGGGATTTGGGAATTCAACTTTGTAGTATAAATAGAGGCTGCATGAGATAGAATAAGAGCACCATGTTTTTTGCAAAACTGGGTGTGGATTGGAAAAGCGATTTTGTTTTGGAAGGTTTTATATCTTTTTTTCTTTCGATGTCAATTGTCGATAATACCCCTGGGCCATTTGTGAGGATTTAAGTGGAGGGTGTTGATTGCATTAGTACGGAAGATGATTTGCTTTTTGAATGGGGGACACATGATTGAGTGATTGCCTTTAAGTTTGAGAGGGGTATTTTGGTAATTTTAAAAGTCCGGGGTGGATGGGTTTAAGGATGAAGCTATGGAGGCCGAGGTATGGTGGGAGAAGCTGGTGGTTTTTCATTGTGTGCAAGTTGGTGATAGGCTTGGTACGGGTATGATGTAAGTAGATAATGTTTTGTTTGTTGTTTTCTGTTATGAACACAAATTTTGTTTTGGATTATTGTTTTTTCTTAAAAACATCAAATTTATGATTTAGTTGGTTGGTGTGTGTACGCCAATGGTTTTACCAAAGTGAACATTGGTTTTCCTTTCAACTTTTCGGCCTATAGTTGCAAATAGTAACGATGAGATTAATGTTATCCATTTTTTATTTTATCCATAATTTAATACAAAATATTGAAATAACAAAATCTTGTCAGGTCATGTAAGAAAATCCTCTTGGGGAGCTTGAACTCAAGATCACTATTGAAATATTATGGTGAGATTTCCACCAAATTGTTTTCGTTTCAAAAAAAAATTGTAAAACGAAGTAATCTGTTATAATTTGATGACCTTGATAAAAAAAAAAGGCTTTAGTTTCAGAGTGAGTGGTGGGGGTTAGTGTGGACTAGTCAAAGTGTAACATCTTGTTTCAGGAAGTTTCTAATTTCGGGATTTTAGACCATAATTTGATCGTGTGAAGGCCTTGAGCTTTAAGGAAATAAAGTTTAAACTCTACCGGATGATGATAATGTCGGGATGCAAACTCAATCTAACATCGGTAAAAGAAGAAATTGTATGCTAACATATAAAGCAATGGATAATTTCTTCTATCACCAATTGGTTTTAAAAAATGAAATTTCGTTGTTTTTCTATGTTGACATGGTTGGACTAGTAGCGATCCTAACAACTGGTATCAGAGCTACAGTCATAGCTCGATGATATGGTCGGGGCAGTTGGTAATTCCCGGTCCAACGAAATTGATCTTGAAGCCTTGTAAGTCTTCCAGATGGCCCATATCAGGTGAGCATGTCCCCGGTGTATCAGCGGTATGAAAAATGATTGGATCTGATAAACTATTATTGAGGGGAGGTCAAGGGCGGAACTTGGGTTTGAGGGGAGGATTGTTGGGATGCAAACCCAATCTCGGTAAAAGAAGAAATTGTATGCTAACATACAAGGCGATGAGTAATCACTTCTACCAGCAATTAGTTTTAGAAAATGGAATCTTTGTTGAGTATGGTTGGACTAGTAGCGATCTTAACATGTTAAGTGATCTAAGCCATTGAATTGTATTTTGGAGCCAATGGTAAAATAGGAAAAGTGATGCTTCAGACTTCTTGCATAAATTAATAATCTTATTTTGGTATGTTTTAAGTCAAATGGAATTAGATAGGGTTGTGGGGCTCGTCAATAATTTTCCGTGCATATAAAGATCGCCTAAAACATAGTTGAAACGAAGTTATGAGTGTTCGAAGTTTGAGTGAATATCCAATACTTGAGTTCCAGAAAAGATGAGAGGAGACGACCAAATTTTTGTGAAGTGAAGAAGTATTGTTGATATTGAGTAGAGATCGATTGAATCAACGTTCCTCAAATGGAGCGTCCATAGTGAGGAGCAAATTTTCCAGAGACATTATTATCTTTAGAAACGTACTTAGTAATATATTTTTTTGATAAGTTGTGAGGTGTAGATGAAACAATGTAATTTGTAGTTAAACGGTTTTAATCTTAAAAATATGAAGAGTGACATTGATGGATTCAAATAATCTTAATTTGTAAAAATGAGTGTTAATAACTAAACAAAGATGGGAAATCAAATAGATTCCACATGTAAAAGTCTAGTCATGTTGAGAAATTAAAGCACGGTGTTATTGTGGTGCTTAGCCTTAAATATACAATGCATGCTTGAATGGAATAGTTGAATGAGATGAAATGCGTAGTTGGTATATAAAGATTAAACATAACCACATTAGCATTATAAAGTTACATGGAATGGATTTGGAGTTTAAAATGCTCATTAAATTGACTTTATACGATAGATTATCTTATTTTTGGGTATCAAACACCAACAACGATATTTAATTAATAAAATAACCACTAAAAGTGAAACAAATAAAATAATTTTAAATTCGGTGGGGGGGGGGGGTTACTAATTTTGCAAGACCAACAACTTAAATCAAACAACTATAAGTTAAGTAACTATTAAGGCTAACCAAGCAAAGAAAACAATTTTAATTCAAGATTAAAGAGACTTCCGTTTAGTTCCGATTCCTCATTTTTGTTTTGCTAATTTATGAACCACAATGCAATAATCAAACACAAGTTGGACACAAATTTCATATAAATGTGAATTTGACAATGAATTCCCAATCAAAGATCAAGACAAGTAAATCAAGCACAAATTATGGATTAACTTTTCTCTCTAACACAATCAAAGTAGCTAAATTTTATTCAACTAACTCTAGGATTTGTTCATCACTAGATCTAATTATTTAATGTTCATAAAAAAACTAGATAACAAATTTATGCAAACAAAATGATCATCTCCTACATGAAACTTGTAAAATAAGCAATATAAGCTAGAACTTCAACAGGTAAGGATTTTGATTTATCAAACACTAGTACAACCAGCAAAAAAGATCCATAAATTTGAAATCAACACATACGTTAAGGGTTCATCATTACCAAAGGAAAGTATAGGGTGATTATCCCATGATTAATGCAAAAACAAGCAATACATCTGATTTAGCTAGATAATATATAGTAAACAGTAGCCAACTGAATGATTAAATGTTCTTCTTCTTCTAAATCTCTTCAATGCTTGAACTCCAAATGATTTCTAATCTTCCAAGGGTCCTCCAGAGGTTTTTAGTCACAATCTAAGATATCCCCATTTTTACAACCATTTTAAATCTTTTTATTAATGCTTATTTGAAACAAAGTTTATTTATAAATGAAGAATTTGGTCCCGTAAAACTATTTCCTAAGGAATGTTTTTCATTGATTTATAAAAGCTTAGGATGTCATAACTGATACAAAACATAAACATAAATAAGCATTAAAGTATCTTAGACTATCAGTCTACATCTCTTTGAATATGTCACACCCCCAAACCAGAATGGTGGAATCGTTCGAGGGCGGATGACTTCATATAGTATCGTAACGGTTGAATACATAGTAAAGAAAGTAAAACAACCATCATATATATAATTTAAAAGTTACATTGTTGAATGATACTTGTTCAAAACAAATTACAATATAATGGCAAAATTAGTTTTAAACTAACGCCTTAGCGTCACTTCTCCAAAAGCTAGGGTTTACCTATATTACTAAATCCCTGAAAAATACAAGTAGTTTTGAAAGAGTGTCAACAATTAAGTTGGTGAGTTCATAAGCATTTATGTATAAAATTTGTAAGTTTGGTATAAAATCACTGAGTTTGTTTATGAAAAATCCAATATTTTCCATGAGTGTGTTGGTAGTTTAAAAGTTCCAAAATTGTAATGCATTAGTAGTTTTTCATGCCTAGAATAACAGATTTAGGTATGTATAAAATCACTAAGACAGTTGATAACCACGTAAATCATCGTGTTTTTAATACTCCATGTGAATTTTATAACCAAGCTATTGACCTAGACTGCTTGTAACAACATTCTTCAGGCATTGGAATGCTATGACGTTTTGTCACTCCAGAGCTGCAGGTCTAACTGTAGCTAACAGTTTAGGTGCGGGATTGTCAATCCCATATAGATCTATACACAAATATCACTCTCTCCCTACAAGAGATTATGGTATATAATATAGGACTTTAATTGCATACTTGAACGTACGTGAAGTTGAATGCCTCACGTAACTTAGTATCAAATAGATTTACATATGAAAAGTTCATTTGTTCTTGTATATGAAAGTATTTCCGTGATATAGTACTTATAGTATGTAAAATCTCATGAATATTTAGTAAACTATACCTATTATAATTTTTCAAAAAGTATGTTTTGTTTGTATGGTAAACCCTAGTGTAGTGTCGACTTTGTATGTAAAGTATAACATTATTGAACATTTTTACTCAAAATATAAATAAATTGTTTGATATTTATATAACAACATGTTTCATTCCAAAAAGACAAAGTATTATCATGGTATGTTGTATGAGAATGTTTTCATATGGTAGTTATAAATCACATATGATTGATTATAACAAAAAGTATAGCAATAGATTGATGTTTTTCACACGAGGATGATCGTGTGTTTACTTGTATTTCCCCCATTAAAAGTGTATAAAATTATTTACAAAGCATTTGAA